GATATCACTTGCTTTTTAAGGCCTTCTCCCATACTATTATTTGCTTTCCCTCTGTGAAGTTGATGGGCCATCACATCTGAGTACCTACTATGTTCCAGGCATGCTCATAGGCATATTACAATTGTTATTTTACTCAGACCACCCAGTATGTTCTCATTTATTATCCCATCTACCCTCTGGGATAGAGCAAATTCTTAAAGACCTCACGTCCAAGGACGTCAGTCCCTGGCAGAGGGTCTCAGACCCAACAGTTAGTGTAGCGGAGCAGGGTCAAGGAGAAACTTACTCCCCAACAATTTGTGTAACAGCAGGGTCAGGGGTGTGTGCAGGTTCGAGGAGCAGCTGTGCTCCCACACCATATAAAGTCTTTTTTTTTTTTAGATATATTTTTATTGATTTCAGAGAGGGAGAGAGAGATAGAAACATCAATGATGAGAGAGAATCATTGATTGGCTGCCTCCTGCAAGCCCCCACTGGGGATCGAGCCCGCAACCCGGGCACGTGCCTCTGACTAGAATCGATCCCGGAACCCTTCAGTCCACAGGTTGATGCTCCATCCACTGAGTCAAACCAGCTAGGGCACCACACAAAGTCTTTTTCCCCCTTTCCTCATTGGAAAAAGATGGGACCCACAAATTAACTAATAATATACCATTTTACAGATTGAATCTTTTGACAAATATTTATTAAGCAACTACTATATATGTAGGCCCTGTATTAAGGTCTGGGAACATCATGATGAGCATAAATAATCCTGGTCCCTGCCCACATGTGGCTATTTACATTTAAATTAATTTGCCGAAACCGGTTTGGCTCAGTGGATAGAGCGTCGGCCTGCGGACTGAAGGGTCCCAGGTTCGATTCCGGTCAAGGGCATGTACCCGGGTTGCGGACACATCCCCAGTAGGAGATGTGCAGGAGGCAGCTGATCGATGTTTCTCTCTCATCGATGTTTCTAACTCTCTATCTCTCTCCCTTCCTCTCTGTAAAAAATCAATAAAATATAAAAATAAATAAATAAATAAATAAATAAATTAATTAAACAAGTAACAAAAACTTCAGGTCTGTACTTGCACTAGCCATATTATAAGTGCTCAACAGTCACACGTGGTGAGGGCTTTTGGGTTGGATAGTATTGATATAGAACATTTCTATCATCACAGAAACTTCTATTGAGCTGTGCTATTCTAAAACTGGAGACTGACATTGATCATATTCTTAGATCTTTCTTGGCTTCTGTCAGGGAGGAAAATTTTATCCTCTACTCTTCTAGATGGTTTAAGAATTAAATTGAGATGAGACAAGTTAATTGCAGAAAATCAAGTTTAATTTCATCTGAGGCCCAAAAACAGTCAGGTAATTGGCAATGGCTTATATGCCATCCAGAGCTAAAGAGAAGGAATAGGCATTTGGGACTTCACATGGAGATGGCAAAATAAATGTTTGGTAAACAAATGTTTGCTATGCCATGCAAAGTCTATTAGAGGGAGTACTTTGAATAAGCAGGCTTTGCTAAGGTCCCCGGCTCACTACACCTCATATTATTTGCAGTTATCCCTGGTGATAGATCCTCTTCCTGGAACAGGCTCTCTATCTAAATCAGTGGTTCCCAACCTTTTTTTGGCCATGCCCCACCTAAGCATCTCTAAAATCCTGATGCCCCCCGTGACATATAATTCTTATTATTCAAAAAGTGAATTCCCATTCACGTGGAGGAAGCCTAAAAGGCCATTAATTTGGTCTAAATAAGCTTCCAAAGAACATGGCATCCATGAAAGAGAAAAATAAAAGTACAAAAGGACAGGTGAAGTACTGAGGAAGAAATCACTAAGAAATTGTTAAAAAGATAATATAAAATGATATGAAAAAATAGCAAAGTTTCAAAACATAATAGAGAACTGAAATGCATAAATCTCACAATATATACTTATATACTGTATATGAGTCCCCTAGAACCATAAGAAATGCAAAAAATTCACTGTTAATAACTCATTCTCCAGTTGCCCCCCCCTTAAAAATCAAATTGCTTCCTTGTGGGGCATGTGCCCCATGTTAGGTACCACTGATCTAAATTCTTTTAGGCAGTTAAGGGGGAGTTAAAAAGCTCTTTCTGCGCCTTTTGTTTCTTAAAAATAATCAACCTAAAATAAACCTCATGCAAAGAGACATGCTTTCCTACACCTCCCTATCCTACTTTATTTTTTTTTTTCAGGTTATAAAGAATTTTCCCTCATTTTTTTTTTTTTTTCTGTGAAGGGGAGCAAAGAAATGGGATGGTAACTATGAGGGTTGGAGCACATGGGATGATGGAAGGCTTTTTTTTTTTTTTTTTTTTTTTTTTAATGTGAAAACTACAGTGTGTTTGTATGGTGATGGGAATGATCAGGTAGAGAACAAGAAATTGATGATACCATGAGTGAAGTTACTGAAGATTGAGAAGACAAGGAAAGATGAGAATCCACACACAAGTGGAGGTCGAGAGGGAAGTAGGAGGGAGTTCTGCCTATTTGATTCAATGTTCTTAAGGTAGAAAAAGCAAGTTATGAGCCCATGATAAGCTGTAGGTGTATTAGAGGTTTGACAAAAGAGGAATAAGAATGCAATAGTAACTTTGGAAACAGGGAAAATAAATATATCGGAGATGCAAAGCCTTGTTGGGAAGCTTTGAAGCATACCTCAATATGTCACTTGACTTTAAAGTGAAATCACTTTTAATTTCTGTGTCTTTTCCAGCAATGTTTTGGGTGCAGAATATGTGGACATCTAGGTTTAACAAGAGTGAGCCTGGCCAAGTCAGTACAATTGAGGAGTTTGGACTTTATCTTGAGGGTCCTGGAGAGCTACTGAAGGTTTAAGCAGAGATTTGGGTGTCAGAAAGGTGTTCTAGCTCAGTGAGGTGAGAGAAACTTATTTGTAGGAGGAACAGTAGTTCAATGCAATAGGACCCTTAATCAAACACCTGCATAGATCTGTTTATAGAGTGCTTAGATGTTAGCTCAGGAACAGAGGGCCTTTTCAAGGATTTTTTGAGTACTTACTATATATAGCAGGTTCTGGGGTGACAAGATAAATCAAACAAGGGTTTGCCTTCCCAAAGCTCTCTTGGATTTAGATGACTTGTAATTATTTTTAGTTATTTGGGGACACGGAAAAGGGGAGGATCGATAAACAATGAGTTGGAATCAGGGAAGCCCTCCCAGAGGAAGTGACATTTCAGATGAGCTTTGAAAGAGTAGGCCTTTAGGGAGGGAAGAGAAGTCAGGCAAGGGGAATAACATAAAATGTATAACTAGAACAAATGCTGCATCATGGAAAATGTGAGATGAGACACTTCTTCCATTAACCAGCAACTAAATAGAACTAAAGAATTCTCTATTTTGTGACAAGGGTAAGGCATCTGGTCCCTAACAGTAGCAAAAAGGGCTTAAAAAAAAGTGAAGGTTTTTAAAAATGGTGATTTTTTTTTACTTAAAAAAAAATAACTGTTGCAGTATTCTAGCTATTTGTACTATAATTTGCTCATTTAAGAATAGTGTGAACTTAAGATGCCTTATTAGCCTTTTCTGGTATGCTGTTAGAAAATATTAACTATGGTAATGCTGACCTGTCTGTCATACAGGGTTCTTAGAAATCAGTCCTTATCACTTGCTTTTAGTACTTATTTCAAGGTAAATGATTTTAAAGTCCCTCTCCTAAGACTTTTGAATAAAGTATAGTTTCTATATATTTTTAAGAAGGAGGAGTTTATGACCCTGGTTCATGGCTATTACTGTATAGATTAAATGAGCTACGGCCTATAAAATGGTTAGTACAGAGTTTGCTTTCTCCCTTAGTCCCAGCTTTCTTTCTGACACAATTTTCATTCTTTGCTCCTTAAAACATTGTATCCTGACCATCGTCTGTTCTAAGGGCCCCAGAATCAGGTGAGGCACGCTCTCAGTTTCCCTACCTAATAGTGGTTATCAGGTAGGGAAAGTGTCAGGTTAGTGCACACATGCGTGCGTGCGTTTGCGCACGTTCAGAAGCTGAGAGGATTGGAAGGGGCTCAAAAAAGTGGATTGTGTTTGTCTGCCAGGTCATAAGTGTGGTTTCTCACAGCCTTAAGAAACCAGCAACCCTTTCACCTAAGTCTGCTTCAGTCTGGCAGTATCCAGACAAAGAGGTGGGGAAGACATTCATTTATTTATTTATTCAGCAAATATACATAGCTGGCCACTAGTGCAAGTGTCAGAATATGACAGAGCATGGATATATGAGAGAGCACGGGTACTTCGGCAGCTACACCAGGCTTGGCATGGCTGGAGTTGTATACTCTTCAGTGTTCCTTAAAACATCCATGACAAACCTAAACCTGAGTGGGACAAGGAGGAAGAACTCTAAGGGGAAGTTGTGTGTTGGTGCAATTTGTCACTTCGTTTCAGGGTTAGTCAGGGTATAGTAACTTCCTTTAGGGAATTGCCAGGCTGACTAATCCATTACCTGAGGGCACTGGGTCCCCCCTCACTTTGCTGTTCACTCTATAGAATACTCAGGAGTTAAAAAAACAAAACAAAACTCATGCCCAGGTGGCACCCCATACCCATTCCATCTGAATATGGGGGGGGGGGGGCGGGGGGGGAACCAGGTGCCAGCGATTTTTATAAGATCCTCCCGTGATAACACTGGGCAGCAAAGTTCTGAAGTCACCGCCTTAGGGCATAGTCCAGTGTTGTTCATTGAAAACCCACTCTTATTTTGGGTTCTGGTTCCAGACATTCCTTAAATTGTTTTTGTTCTTTTCTTGGGTTGGGGGCGCTATCAGCAGGAAGAGGATGTGGCGTCACCCTTGGGGGAGCCTAGCTAGCCGAGCCGCGGGCGTAGGTCGCCAGGGCTGCACGAGCCGCGGATTTCTGCTTTGTCATTCTGACTCTGGCTTTCTGCCACCGCTCGGCTCACACGAGGCGTGGCTTCCCGTAGCCACCGGGAACCCGCAGCGGCTCCACTGCTCGCTTCAGTCCCGCATTGCATCGGAGCGGAGCGGGCGGCGCGGGACGCCTGAAGGAGGGCCGAGGCCCGGGAGCGCGTGTGCATGTAAGCCTTGGGTGACCTGACGGCCGACCCAGCCCCGAGCGAGCGGCCGGACCCGAACACCGCCTGCTGGGTGCCCGGAACGCGGGGAGGGGAGACGTGCAGGGGTGCCTGAGGGAGGGTGAGGCTCTTAGCCCGGGTTAGTGAAAGCTTCACCTGTGGTAGGGGACACTGGCCCCCTGGCGGTTTCCTTCCCCTCGCTCTTCTTTGTGGAGACAGTTTGCTTGCAGAATATCCGAGAAAATGGTTTTTTGTATCGTTTCTTAGTGCACGACCTTGACAGATCCTCGACAGCATTAAGAGAGTGTAATAATTTCACGACGCTTTTCCAGGATTTCCACACCAGCGAGTCCCCGGAAATCCTGAGAGGTTGGCAAATTACATGTATTTACATGTTCAAGGCTCAGAATCGTTGGACTCGCCCTAGGCAATTAAGCGGGGACAGCTGAGAGGAGCCAGGGCTGTTACCTGACTTCTTCAGGCGATACAGGACAGTGTGTAAAACCACACGCCACACTGCCCGAGTGTGGGTCCTCCACCTGCTGTTGACCAGCTTGTGACCTTGGGCAAGTTAGCTTTTCTGTGCCTCAGTGTCCCTGTCTGTGAAATGGACCTGATAGGTCTTGCTTCAAGAAGGTTGTGAAGATTGTGTTTATATATGCACAGCCACTACACAAGTGTGTTAGCTATTATTGCTGTTATAAACAACTCTACTTTTAAGTGGTGGTGTGGTTTTTGTCTCATGAATGGGCCTGGTATCAGTGTAACTGGCGTCTTTTTAGTTCTATCACTGACGCATTCTCAGAGCTCACCTGTAAAAGTGGACCATTAGGTCCCATATGTCATGGAGGGTGTTGCTGTATTGCTTAGGCCGGGTAAATAATCACCCTAAGTGGAAAGAGTGTTCGTAATTCTGCCCTACGGATTCAAATTTCCAAGAAACGCTGGAAGTTGGATTTTGACGCCCTGTACGGATGCAGTTTAAAGGAAGATTAAGTTGGGAGGTGTTTTACAAACCGCTCCGTTTAAAAGCTGAGGTAATTGTGCCCTAAGCTTCCTTTTGGAGGCTTTCCTGGGTTCCGGATGTCCTGGAAAGGCAGCGCGAGCACGTCTAGGAGACTGACTCGGGTCTGATCGGAACGCTGGCCTGTGGGGCCCGAGCCGGGCGCGGGCGAGGTCGCGGTCAGGCTGCGGCAGGGGGCGCTGTTCCGCGGGAGGCGCGGTGCGGGGCGCCGGGGGGCGCGCACTGGGCTCGCGGAAGCCCCGCCCCCGGCGCGCACTTCCCGCCGCGGCCGGAGCGCCCGCCTCACCGCGCCCGGCTCGGCTTCTGTGCCGCAGAGGACGGGCCGCGCCTCGAGCGAGCGCTGGCCGAGTGACCTCGGAGACCGACGTGCCCGTGTTTGTGAAACGGAGAAAGCTGGGCGGCCATGGTCCGACCCTGAAGGTAGGTAGGAGACGCCAACGTTTCTTTCGCCCGCCGCGCTGGGAGGGGGCCCCGCGTGGTCGCACGCCGCCTTTCAGAGCCGGGCGGATGTGCACCGACTCCGCAGGAGCCGGGCCTTGGAAATGACACGGAAACGCGCGGGCTGGCCCACGTGTTACTGGAAGTGGATGAACCGTGGAGTAAAGCGAACTGGCGAAGGGAATATGTAACTCTCTTCATCTTTAAAAATGCATTTTTGTAAAGTGTCCCTTTCCTCCTATTGTCCCTTCCTCTTTCCCCGTAAACCTAAATAACTTAAGAACTTTTAGGAGCAGTGTAGACTTGTTTGTTTAGGGAACTGCTGAGAAAAGGGGATCAGGAAATGCTTGTCGTTTTGGGCCCCTGTCCGCCTGTTCTGTTCTCTGGGAGGGAAACCCAGACACCTCCGGTGCAGGGAGAGCAACCAGGAAGCTCGTGGAGTGGTTTTGTTTCTCTTCAGGTGTCTCCTTTCTAGCCCAGAGTTAGCAATTGTGTGGAAGGAAGAGGGAAGTCTTTCCTTTGGCCGGTGGCAAGCGTGCTGCACTCCTGCCGCCGGCCCCTGAGGGAGGCAGGGGTCATGCCCTGGCGCTGGCAGAATGCTTGAGGCTGGTGTAGGGGCTGTGTAACAGGGATGATCGACATCGGGTTGGTGACCATCACCGGACACATCTGCTTTAATTTCTGCTAATTATCTTTTGTCCTTGTCTGTGCCTATATAATTTTTAAGAAACGGAACTCATATTTGAACACATTGCCTTCTGAGAAAGTAAACTTGTGGCACAGTTAAATGCAAAATCTATTTAGACATGTGTGCCTTTAGGAAGGATATTAGCAATTAATTTGCATTTTTATTATTCTAAAAATTTTATTTACGTTTTTGAAAAATGGTTATAGGAAATGGAGATAGACTTCAAAGACAAATAGCAAATTAATGGACAATAAAGAGATAAAAAGGCTTTTGGCTTCATTTAAAATACGTTGTGTTACTCAGACCTTTAGTTTGCAGGGAAAATGAGACAAAGGTCTATTAATATTCCTGTCTGATTGTTCTCTTTGTTCCACCTATTTCATAAAATTGCACTTAAAAAGTTATATAGGCATTTGAGCTTTATATAAATTCTACAGATGATCCTGGTTTTAACATCAATGGGAGGAAAAAGAATCACTGTTTTTATACGCTTTGGACCCATTTTACTGATATAATCTGATGTTTTCAATGCCATATGATCATAGGTAATTTCAGACATTTAGGGAAGTGCAACACCATGAAAGAAAAGCACACTACCAACTCACAATTAAATCATTTAGCACATCTCTTTTAAGTAAACTTACCACTCAGCTCTGTATCATTTGGTTTATTTTGGGTTTTTAGTGAGTACTAAGGAATGGAGGAAGAGACACAAGGTAAGGACCACTGGTTTGAAACGTTTGTGAATTTCCAGCCAATTGTTGCCCACATTTGGGGCTAACTGGTGGGTTTTGAAAACCTTTAAGGAACATTGGGTTTGAGTAAAGAAAGGCATTTATTTAGTGGAGAATTGAGTGTTAAGATCCTAAAGTCTACACCTTAAAAAAAGGTTAGGGTTTCATACTCTGATGGCAACATAAATAACGGAGAGGGCGTTTTTACAAATGTCTTCTTCTCCCTTCTCTTAATAGTTTTTTCCTTTGCCTCCTTTCCTCCTCAGCAAGTATCAGTGGCAACAGCAGAACTCACCTTGCTTTCATAGTACTGTAGAAGACAAGGGAGTGAGATTCCTGTTTCAAGGAACTGATAAGCTCAGATGACCACCTACAGGAAGAAGGTTTTAAAGAAGCGTTTCAAAAACTAGTCTACGGAACACCTACACAGTTCTCTGGAGTGCTTATTAAACATGCATGCCTGGGCTTTACCTGAGGTCTTGCTGAATAAGCCCTCTGGACGGGGCTAGGAGCTGCCTTTATTTATTTATTTTTTTAAGCAAGCCCCCTCAGGTAATTCTTATAAATACCAAGTTTGGAACTTTAATGTTTAAGGTAGGTTAGTCAGGATTGGTTGCTAAATAATTAGAAGCGAGGAAACAAAGAACTATTCTTTAATACCCAAAATATAATAGAAGATAGCTAATGGTAACTCAACAGGTGAGTAACAATTTATATGTGAATAGAAAAATAGGGAAATATGCTGTCTGTGGCTAGGACTTGTATGTCCATGTGTAAAATTAGAACTAGGGAGCTACTAAATTCTGAGAACTATAAATAGAGCTCCCATTGCTCAAAGGAACTGGCTTTCATGAACATTTGAGTTCTTAAGGGCATAATGCAAGTATTCTTTATAGGGAACCTTATATGTAAATCAGTGTCTCTAGGTTTCCAGAGCATTGAAACCACTTGTATAAATGCCTTTTGTTGGTATTGAGAGGAACAGCAAAGTGAATGAAAAAGTGCTCATTGGAATACTAAGTGCTGGACATACTTAAGACTTTAGTAGTCCCCAGTAGTTTGAAATAGTAGTTTGGGAGATAAGACTTAAACTGTGGCAACATGGAACTTAATTTCTTCAGGTGACAGACACAAATCTGTGCATGATTAACAATCCAAGTGAATTATGAGACGGTTGTGAGAGGAGCTCAGATGTGATCGGGTAGTGGTCAGGCGCGGTAGCCCCGTGTTCCAGCCTTGAAGGTGGGTACACACTGAAACAAAGGCAGGTCTCCTCCTTTCAAGCCTAATCTCCAGTTACCAGAAATCAGACTCTTAACTGAATAGACACCAGGAGATGAGTGGTAATTTAGTAACTCTCCAACCATTACCTTTCTCTCCTAATATTCTACCAAAACTGACAGAAAACATTTCTTTTTATTCTTTCCTCTGAGACAGTTCCATCGAGGGAGATGAGGAGGGTACCTGCTTTTGGTCTAGTTAAGGGTTGAGTCCTGAGGAGAACTTTGAAGATGAGGGAAGTGAACAGGCTCTGATTTACTTAAGAAAAGGGAAAAGGGTAAGGACTAACAAGAGTTTAAAGGAGGATAGATTATTAGGACCGAAAATGAATTTATCTGGTGCTGAATCCATGTTGCGACCCATTGACTCCTCCTCCCACTTTAACCCAGTGACAACACAAGTCTTTTTTGCTGTGTAGCTGTTCTTTTACTATTTCACTATTCTGGTGGTCCAGGGTTCAGATTTCCTCTGGCCTTTCCTGTCTGTTCACTTACCAGGACCTGACTGCTTCCTATGTGTGTGCCTGCAGTCTATCTGAACTTTGCCCAGGCTATTTCAGGTACTTAATTCCTCTTGCCCAAAGCATTTCATCAGTCTCTACCTTGCCTTCCACTGCTGATGTCCCTCTCTTTCCAGTCCATCTGTGTTCAGAGTCATCTTGCTGATTGCTTCTGTGCTGCCCCCAGATCTGTACCGGTGATAACGTGCAAACTCCTTACTTTGGTATTCTGTGTCCTCAAAGCTCTGGGTCCCACCTATTTTTCTGGTTATTTTCTGCTCTGCTCCCTCACCTACAGAAAGCTCCTGGGAATACTGTTACAGCCATAGTCCCCAAATGTCCCTTTTTTTTGCTCTGCTCTTTGTTTCAATTCCTGACTTCCTGCTCAAACCCACTTCCAACTGCCTGTGTTAGAGTACAAGGCCAGCTTTGCCCATTCTTTCTCTCCTATGTGCTCCCACAGCACTCCCATAAATCCTTCTCTGGAAAAGGAGGAAGCCCACCAATGACTTTTTTTTGGCTTCCATATCAGAAGTAGAGAGTTAGTCTTAATTCTTTGTGCCTGTGATCCCAGATCTGTATTATATAGAGCTCAGCAAATACTTAAAGGCATTCCTATTAATGACAGTAGCTACCATTTATTGAATGTCTACTGTGTGCTAGACTCTAAATGCTGTAATAGCTGGTTGAGTAAATCCTCACATTAGTCCTATGAAGGAGATGGTTTATCATCCAGTTTTACAGATGAGAAAATGGAGGCCCTGAGAATTTAAGGAGCATGTCCAGATTACACAGCTAGTTAAGTGGCAGAGCCAGGAATGGAACCCAAGCCTATCTATAAAGTTCACTTTGGTGTACTCACACTTCTGGTACTTGGCTGTGTGTTATTGCTGTTGGGATACATGCTGATCTCCCTGGTGTGATGGTGTGCTCATGACTCAAGGCTGAGCCCATGCAAATCTTAGTATTCCTAGCATAGCTCTGGCAACTTGGAATTCATTCATTAGATGCTTGCCGAGTGGAACTGCATTCCTCTGTGCCTACTAAATGGTAGCTTCCTTTAAGATGAAAATGATTTATTTTTATATTTTCTCTGTGTTGTAATACCTAATGTGCATTCAGTTAATATTTGTTGAATGAATGATGCTAGGGCTCACTTAAGTGAGGTGTTTAGGTACAAGGTGTCTGGTTTTGTGAAGGTGGGCTATCTTTGTCAGAGACCAACCCCTAAGATGTTCAGGAGAGAGTCTAGGAAGCATATAGAGCAGTTCAGAATTTTAAAGAGCTGTATGACAGCAGTGTTGTCCACCAGTCAACACTGTTCAGCAGTCTATGCAGGTGTGTCCAGGTCAGTTGAGAAGAAATTCACATTATGTCTATTTTGCTACTTATTGAGCACCTGTGTTTTCGTCATTTAGCTAGGTACTCTGTTATCTCTAGCACAGGTTTGTAGGGCAGAGTGTGTACTTTAAAATACGTTTGTCAACGAATGTTTGTATATGACTTTTTACGTAGAGTCACAACCCCTCTCTACGGCAGAGGAGGAAACTCAAACTCTGAAGAAAATAAGTGGAAACTAACAAAGCACTAGTTTTGATTTGAACCCAGGCCTCCAGGGCAGAGTTCCTTCTAGGTCGCTTCCTCTGAAAGCCACATACCCAGTGCTTTGCTACCCTGGTCCATGAAAACTATGCTCCTGGTCATTGCTGACTCCTGAGGTGTCCCAAGAGAGCTGCTAATTGCTCTTCTAGCCTGAAAGGCTCTATTCTCCTCTGTCACACCCTTGTTGACATTAGTTCTTGAGGCTTGGCAAGTCAGTTGCCACTGGGTTTTCCTAAGTGTCAGTTAAGTGTATGACTTTTACCACAGACTAAGGTGGAGGTTTTATATACTGTGAAATATTTCAGGGAATGGCTCCAGATTATTTTGTGGGACTCAACTGTCATTTTATCTTTTATTTCATTAATAATAAAGCAGTATTATCTGAATATAGAATAGTTATTCAACACCTCTTTCGGATACTGTATTTTTAAAGGAATTTGCTGAAATCCAAGGAGCCATTCATGGGAAAAATACACATAAATAATTTTGCATGTCGTCTCAGACTTTGTGGACTTGCTTCAGAATATTTAGTAGATTGGATTACCTTTCAAAGTACTATACACACTACATTAGTTGAAGCCTTACGTTTTAAAATTTTATTATATATCAAATTTCTTTTCACTGGTATTTGTTATAATGGGATTTTGTATTCCTCCTTACAGATTTAATCTTTAAAACATTTTTCGTTTCCTAAATCAACATCAAGGAGTGAAACTACTGGTTTGATTTTTTTTTTTCTTTCTATTTGATGTCTGATATTTATTAAACATTTGTTACCTTTGGGATAATTTAAGATTAAGTACTCAACAGTTGAAAATACTGTCAAATCTATCACATAATTCTCACTTAATACATAGAGTAACTTCATGATGTAAGAAGTAGTATTCCCATCTTACAAATGAGGAAACTGGAGCCTGAGGTTAAGCAACCTGCCCAAGATAACAGTAATAGCTAATAGGTCAATATTGGAACCCAGGTTTGCCTTCTTCCACTGTTCATGGTCTTTTCAGAAACCCGTTTGAAAAACACATATCTGCCTTGATCATAGCACAGTTTACCTTTAGTCTAAAGAACCAAACAAAGCAAAACTATACACTCAGAAATATAACATTAAAGGAAATTAAAAAGAAAAAGAAACTATACCTAGTATCCTAGCATCCTGCTACTCTGACAAATCAAATAGGACTTTTACTACGTCTCTTCACTATTAAATAGATACCCTGGCAGGATGAGGAGAGAAAAGCTGCTGTGAGAGAAGAAACAAAATTATTAGGGAGGTAGCTAAAGGCAGAATAAGTCTTATCTGTTGGAGTACAGGACTCAAACCCTTAAACATCTATTTGTTATAGATTAATCCTGAAGTAAAATCCCACTGGAAAAGGTGGTGGGCACTATGTGAGCTCTTTTTTTTTTCTTATTTGGCCAGAAAGAGACCTGTGATCTGTGACATACATCCCATCATGTTTGTGTTGAGTGCTGGGGGTTGTGGGACAGAGCTCAAGAATGCTTGGAAAGAATGAACCTGAATTATTAGCAAAGGGACTGAAAAAGAACGCAGGAAGGAAAACTAAAGAAAGGAAGAAAGAAAATGGAGGGCCATGTTGATCCCTTAGAGCCACTCCTGAAAGAAGAAAAAGGGGAGAAGAGGAGCTAAGTTATCTTGCAGGCCAAGTTGTGTCATTGGTTGCCTGAACTAATACTGATGCATTTTTGCTTTATTTTACAAATCATAAAGAAGTTTACCAGTATAACTGCAATTGTGTATTGCTGTCATTTATATAATTACTATAGGCCCGGTGTACAAATTCTTGCATAGGTGGGGTCCCTTGGGGTGGCCTGCAGAGTTCGGGCCCCAGCTCACGCCCCTAGCCTCATGGCGCCACCCCCCTCGCTCCACCATCCTGCCTGCCTGGTGATCAATCAGGGCCAGGCCCCCACCTGGCTCCTTCAGGGCCTGGGAGTCAGGCGGTGGCCCTGCCCTTCACGGCCACTGCAGCGACTGGCAAGGCAATTGGGCCTCCGCTCACACCTGCCTTGGCCTGGTGAACCCGCTCACGTGCTCCACCATCCTGCCTCAGTCCTGCTCTCATCGGGGCCCATTGGGGCTGGCAGCACCTCCACTGCCGCCCGCTGCCATGGCATGTATCATAGCGAGTGGTCAAACTCCTGGTTGAACTACTGCCTGAGAGGACAATTTGCGTATTAGGCTTTTATTATATAGGATTACCAGTAATTTGACCTTAGGTTAGAAAGTCACTGTTTAGTGATTTAAGGATTCAGAAGAGTAGAAATTCCCATTCTATAAATTATTAGGGAAAATCATTAGACATGAAATTTTTATTTTGAGGCTACATTTGAACCTTGTGCTCCAAAGGCAGATTTAAGAAGGCAGAATATAATGCAAGTATGTCTTCTTTCTGAGGCTGATTTAAGTTATGTATTACTAAGGTTTCTTAGGGACAGGGACCTAGCATAGAGTGAATTAAGTACTGGAAATCACACCTTAATAATATGATGCTTGTCTTTTTGTGTTCTGTTGCTTCAAGCAAATTGTGTGGGCTGTTATCTCCTGAGAAATCCCTGTAAAATGTATTAGTAATACTTTATAAGTAGGTTAGGAGAAATAATTTACTTTTCTAAAGTATTTTGAAATTCTTAGATGAAAGGCTCTGTATGAAGAAATTGGTGTCAGCTATTTTCTCTGAGTTCAGAGAAAATAGGCACCTTAGAGTGGGAAGGTTGGCTTATCTTTAGCACTTCTTTATAAGTTACTTTTATTGACTTGCAAGTGAATATCAGAAGCTCCCAAGAGTATGGTTAGCTGTAAGAGCAAACATTTTTGGGTTTGGGACTTGGAATTAGCTATGTGTTTTCATCTAAGATTTAAAACAGGTTTAAATATTAGTTTGTAATTGGCTGACTTGGAGGCAAAATATGGCCCTTTGTTGATCATGGGTCCCAACTTTTTCTCTTGCTCTTTCTTTATTTCAGAGACGGGATAAGCCTGACTTTCTGAAAAGCATCAACTTTCATTTCCTATTTGAAATTAAATCTCTTGCTGCTAAGTAACTTGTAATAGGTCTTGGAAGAAAGTGTTTCATCTATATTCATTTATACATTAAAATCTACATACTCAAATGCATCCATGTGAAAACAGTTTTGCTTGGAAGACTTAACACATTCTTGCTTTAGAGAAGCTAACAGTCTAATAGGGCAGAACTATATATATGCACAACTAATCGTAATAACATGGTGTCTTTGAAAAATGCATGCTTCTTCCTCAATTACCCTTACTTAAAGAAATAATGGTGAATGGTAGTAATAGAAATATTTTGGAATAACTTAGTAAGTTTTGCGTTTATGGATTTGCAAGAAACTTTCTGCTAATGTCCAAGAAAAATGGACCATTACAACATGTATCCCAATTTCGGTTTTGAACAAATAGTCGTACAATCTTCCACTCCCCATCGTGTTAAAAGCTCCCACTTCCCAAACAATAAAGTTAACTTTTCAATGAAAAAGAGAAAAAAAAAAGACAAATGAACCAGCCTAGGTGCAAAGGATGGAAGGTAGGGCTAATTTCCTTCCTGGTGCCTTAAAACCAGAGCTGATAGATGAAGTGTGCTGTATCCCCTCTCCTTTAAAAGGAACACCTGTTGCAGTGATTAAAAGCTTTTTATCTTGTGGGCTGAGTGCATGTTATCTTCAAAAACAAAATTATTCCCTTCCAGTGTTATGTATAATTTGTTGCTCATGTGACTGCTGAGCTGAGCCCTTTCTCCAACTGTACTAGAATTTCCAGTGAACTAGTGTGTGAATTTTCCAATTTAGGTTAGTCACCCGATTTACAGCATTCACTTGCATATCCTTATAACAGATTGTGTTTAAAATCTTCATGGCTTCACCTTTTAGGGTTCAGATTTACTATCCATTCAGTCTGTGGCCTTTAGCCTTTGGCAAGCTTTCAAATAAACAGCTCTTGCAGAGACTGTACCCACTTTATTCTCCCACCCTTGGGTTGTGGAGAACTGAAGATCACTTGAGTAATACCCCTCTCCCCATCTTCGAGCTTGCTCTGGCGCTGAAATTCGATCACAAGTGACTACTTCCTCCCCCTTCTCCGCCCCCCTCCCCATCACCAGGTAGGTTGGAGGGGGGTTGGGCTTTAGAGGGCTTAAGAGGGCCCACCACGGTAATTGACGCAATTTACATTTGTATAATAAAGAACTGAGTTACAAACAGCCATCTTGCAAATGAGCCCTTGGAGTTAGGCCTACTTGTAATAGGGTTTTGCAGTCTTGCTCCTTGGCCTTACGGGCATGGGCAGTTTATAATCTAGACAGATTTAGTTCTCAAAAAATGAAAGAATAATCATAGTAACAATAAAAAACCAGGGTCGACCTAACTGCAGTATGTGACAGCAATCTAAAGCGCAGGACCTTGAGTTTCCCCACAGTTTTATCAAAGATCATCCAGGTGTTTCTTTGAAAGCTAGAAGACACTGTCAGTAAACGCTAATACCTATCGCCTACACGGGTGTTCAGTGTGGGGTTGGGAGCCATTGTTGCGTCGTGTGTTCTGTGCGCCGGCGCGGTTCCGTGCATGCGCCGCCTTCCGCGAGGTGGGCTTTTTGCAGGGCCCTGCGCCTGGGCTCCGCGGGGCGGGCTGTCGGGAGGCGGGTGAGCTTGGGGCGGGGCCTCCTGCGACGCCCCCCTGCGCATGGGCGGACGTCTTCTCAGCTCGGCCTGACGCCGGCCTTCAATTGCCGCCGTTGTTGGTGAGAAACATCTGCGAAGGCCCGGAGCAGAGCGCTACCCGAGCTCCGCTGTCCCCGACATGTCTGATGAAAAAGATTCCCTGCGGGGAGACGAAGAGAAAGGAGAGGAGCCGGTGGTGCGGGCCACCCCCGGCAGTGCCACCCCCGGCAGTGCGCTCTCTCTGAAGCAGGCCGAGGAGGTGGACCCCCTGAAGCTGGAAGTGGCGATGGGGGCTGACGGCTTCTCTGACAGCTGCTCCGAGGACTGCTCCGACGACCTCAGCTGTGCGGCAGCCCACATAGATCCAAATCTCCTATTGCTTGTGGCTGACGAGGAGAAATGCCGGAATATCCGCAGGCAGTACCGGCAGCTCATCTATAACGTCCAGCAGAACCGGGAAGACATCGTGAACACGGCGAGCGACTCATTAACCGAGGCTCTGGAGGAAGCCAATGTCCTGTTTGATGGAGTGAGCCGAACGAGGGAAGCAGCTCTCGATGCCCAGTTTCTTGTTTTGGCTTCTGATTTGGGTAAAGAAAAAGCAAAGCAGCTGAACTCTGATATGAGCTTTTTTAATCAAGTAGCATTTTGTGATTTTCTGTTTATTTTTGTGGGTCTGAACTGGATGGAAGATGATGAACGTGATGCGTTGAATGGTTGTGATGATAACATAGTTCTTTCCTTCTGGGAGACAGTACATAAGGAAGCAACATCCTGGATATCGCAAGCTGAAACATTCCACTTTCTCTTTGGTTCATTCAAGTCAGAGTCTTCTGCCCCGAAGCGGCGACCTGGACACCATAAAAAAGCTCCCAGGGTGGAGGAAAATGTGGATATGCCTACAAAGCTGAGGAGGCTGGACCTGAGTAGCAATCAAGAAGGGACAGAAAAAGAAGTAGAAAGAATCTTGGGGTTGTTGCAAACGTATTTTCGAAAGTATCCTGACACCCCCGTATCCTATTTTGAGTTTGTGATTGATCCAAATTCTTTTTCTCGTACTGTGGAGAATATATTCTATGTTTCTTTCATTATAAGGGATGGTTTTGCAAGAATAAGGCTTGATCAAGACAGGCTGCCAATATTAGAGCCCATTAATGTTAACCAAGTGGGTGAGGAAAATGATCCCAGTTCCCATGGCAGGAAACAAGGAGTTATATCTTTGAGTTTACAGGACTGGAAAAATATTGTGGCGACTTTTGAAATTTCAGAGGCTATGATTAAAAGCTCTTACTAAATATTTTTGTTCTTAGTATAGGGTGCATTTCGTGGCCTTTCTAAAGTATCATCTCAAAATAGAGTGTAAAACCTAAATAGAAGCCCATATTGTATGTCTTGTAAAGTGAGAAAATATTTTCAAGAACATCAGAAATTGTCTTACTGTGCAGTGTATTTTTCTTGGTAGTTTATAAAGTTGTCATGATCTGTTATTTAAAAACAATCACTAGCATGTTCATGGAAATTTTTTTGAATGTCCTTTAAGACTTTATTAATAAAATTCAGTTCCAAATTTCATAAATTAAAAGGTATGTTATAATTTGCAAAAAAAAAAGGTATCGGTTATGCTCTGTGATACTGTATTCCTGTTACAGGGAATAAAATGAATCCCATATGGGATTCCTAATCAGGTTGGGGAAGGAGTGGGTAAAAAAATGCTAAATTAAAGAAAGACTATCTGTAGGGCAGTGAATGTGCAATGTTAACACACACACACACACACACGCACACACGCACACACACACACACAAACAGGTGCTTTGCTTCATTGCTAGGAAGACTTAGTAAGATTAACTCGTGGGTATCCACATTCTAAATAATTCTCCTGTGATTAGTTCAAAAGAAATATAGTATCTACTGTAGTAGATGAGGTGTCAACTAAGTGCTGAAATGTGAGTAGGAATTGGTCACAGATAGGAATGGTATACTGGACATGGAGGCAAATATAGGGAATTGTGAGAGGTTTGTGGCATTAGAAAACCATAAGATCTTTATTCCAGTTGAATGTTAAACTGGGCAAAAATGAATTACCTTTTCTGTTAGTATTCTCAGAGGTAGAAGATACTTTTGTTAGATTATTTCAAACAAAATCTTTTAACATCTAGTTCTAGTCTTTATCTGCTTGGTTAATTTCTTCTTTGACTCCTAGTTTTTCTTTGTAATTTCTGCTAGTACACCGTGTGTCCTTCAGAAATCAGTGATGTTTCATTATGTAACAACAGCCTTGAATATCTGTTCTCAATTCAATTGTGCATTTCTTAATAGGGCGTTCAATGCCTGGAACTGCCCCTGTTTCAACTGAAATAATTGATTAATTTATTCATAAAGCCATAAATGCTCCTTTTCCTTCTTTTTAAAACATAAACTAATGCCTTATTTGGAGGTTATTCCCGAAAATTTGGGTTTGTAAGAAAGCAGTTTTGAAGGTGCAGTGAGCATGCCTGTAAGCTTCTTTTCTTGATCCCTATAGGAATTTAATCTTTGGTACTAGTGGATTTTTGCCATTAAACATTATTTGGCGGGTGGATACATATTTTGCATAGCAATAATGATAAATTTTCCTATTAAGTCTAGTGTGGTATGGAGAGGGGAAATCCAAAGACTAAATGAATGACATCAAGATTGAGAGGAGAGGTTTTTGTATGTGTAATATTGAAGGGTTTTTTTTTAAGCAAAAATAGAAATTTCTTATGAAACTTGGCCAATTATTTTCCTAACAAATTAACCCTTAGATTTCCCAGTCAGTTTGAGTGGAGGTTCTGCATGTCATGACCCTTGACCTCCCCCACAGTTCATAATGTAGACAGATTAGTTCTCACACAAAATTTTGAAGGAATGCTGACCCTTCCTGGTTGTCTATCACCCTTTTATTTAGCAGTCAGAAAGCATCTTTTGGTCTCACTGATCTTCACTTTAGCCTGTTTCTTTCTACCAATTGAGTTCCTTGATTTCCAGAGACTTGCTGTTTGCGGAAAAGATACTCTTAAAATGATAGCAAAAAAAAGAAAAAAATCTTGCCTCAGTTCTTTACTTGCCACCAGATTGCTCTGTTAAATGCCTAGTGTATTTACCAGGAGTATTTGAGACTTAGTGATGACTAAAAGCAATAATAGAGAATGTGAAGGTTTGGGGTCTTCTCTACAGTTATAGCTGTTAAAATATAAATAAAATTAACCACTTGTTTTGTTTTTACTGGTTGTCATGATACCTGGGTTGCCTTATCACTTTGAAATTAAAATGACTGCTTGCTTACCTTGAAGAAAAAGGTGAATTGACCAATAGGTAATTTAATTATAGAGACTTAGGTATCCACCAAATTGCAAATCTTGTGGGTTTCCCACTAATACAGTTAGAGTGGCTCAAATTTCAGATTTCAGTAAAATCAACTGAACTTAGGAGAATATTATGGCAATTTTTTTTTTTTTTTACTAGAACTTTCTTATATAACAACCACTTTCTGTTCAAAGGACCTGGGATTAGATCCTGACCCTCTAATATTCTAGTAGAGACTTTGGGCAAATCATTGAACCTGTAAACCTTAGTTTTTTTTTGTATTTTGTTTTTTTTACTAAGTGAAAATAATACCTATCTCAAGTTTACAGTAAAGATAAAATTAGAAAATGTATGCGACAGGTACTTTAAAATATGAACGATTGGGTATGATATAGTGAGAAAAAGAAGAGATTTTTTATCATACAGACTTGAGTTCCATTCTTAGTTCATGGCAAAGCTCTTAATCTCTAAGTGTTTTTATATTGTCATTTCTGAAATGGGAAAGACATCTGCTTGGAAGACTATTGTGAGAATTAAATGGTAATACACGTACGTACAATGTGCACGCGTGCACACACATACACCTACCCCACCCCACCTCCTGTAGCACTCATCGTGAGCACTCATATTGGTGCCTCATTCTCTAGATCAGGGTTAGAAAATCCATGCTGCCACCTCCTTCCATGGTGACCATCTCTGTCATGGTTTATGCACTTTATTTGCGTGCACACACATACACCTACCCCACCCCACCTCCTGTAGCACTCATCGTGAGCACTCATATTGGTGCCTCATTCTCTAGATCAGGGTTAGAAAATCCATGCTGCCACCTCCTTCCATGGTGACCATCTCTGTCATGGTTTATGCACTTTATTTTAAGTTTAGATATGACTTCATTTGTTTTAGGAAATCAGTTACCAAGAGATTGGAATTGGTGCTTTGTTGATTTATGTACCAACTACTTGAGTGCCCACTGTGGCCAGTTACTGCTCTAGGCACTAGGGAAAAAGTGGTGGACAGAATATGACCCAACTCTCATGGAATTTATATTTTACTGGGTGTATTAGTTTCCAATTGCTTTTATAACAAATTACCATTTAGTGGTTTAAAACCAATTATGTTTTATAGTTCTGGAGTTTGGAAGTCCAAAATTGGTTTCTCTGGGCTAAAATATTGTTTCTGCACACTTGAGTTGCTTTCAGTATTATTTTTGCACACTTGAGTTGATTTCGGTATTATTTTTGCACACTTGAATTGTTTTTGGCATTGTTTTTGCACATTTGAATTGCTTTTGGCCTTTTTAAGGGGAATCTGGAGCAGTGTTTTACTGGGGTGGGGGAAAGACATTACTGAGAGGCAGATGAAAGAGAGAAAAGAATAGCTAATATGTAAGCCCAGCAAACACCTGCAGTGGGGTGTTGTGTATTAACACTTATGTCCTACTAGAGGCCTGGTGCATGAATTCCTGCATGGGTGGGGTCCCTTGGGGGTAGCCTGCGGGGATCTGGCCCCAGCTCGTGCCCCTAGGCTTGCAGCCCCAGCTCAGCCCCCAGCCCCTCAGCTCCGTAGCTACTCCTGGCACACTGCCTTGGCCTGGCTGGCGCCACCCCCTCACCTGCTCCACCATCCCACCTGCGGGGCGATTGATTGGGGCTGGGTCCTCCACCGGCTCCCTCAGCACCTGGGAGCCAGGCAGCAGCCACCACCCCTCACTGCTGCTGCTGGTCGCAGTCTGTGGGGCAATCAGCAAGGCGATCAGGCCTCTGCTTGTATGCACTTTGGCCTGGCACTGCCCGCTCACCTGCTCCACCATCCTGCCAGGGTCCCACTCTCATCAGGGCCCATTGGGGCTGGCAGCGCTTCCACTGCTGCCCGCTGCCAGCGCTGCATCACCGATGCCTGCCATGTTTGTGCCGCCCCCTGGTGGTCAGCGCACGTAATAGTGAGCCGTTGAACTCCCAGTTGAGCTCTCAAGGGGACAGTTTGCATATTAGGCTTTTATTATATAGAATAGCATGGTTCTCAGTGAGGTCTGGATTCCTATAGGGGCCCCTGAGGCTCGTTCAGGAAGTTCTTGAGATCAAAAATATCTTAGTAATACTAAGATGCTGTTTGTCCCTTTCACTCTAATTTTTTTTGCAAGTCTACCATAGAGTTTTCCAGAGGGTACATGCATGACAAGTGATGTTACAATAGAGTGAACCGCAGAAAAGATATGGGCTGCCTTTTATTAAGACAGACATTAAAGAGAATTACCAAGATATAAAACAATGCCACTGTTCTTGCCAATTAAAAATGTTTTAAATAAATTGTTTAATAAAATATTAAGATATTTAATGACTTACAATATTTTAAATCTTTTCTTAGTTTTAATTTTTAATATGATAAATATTATAAATAAACCCCATTAATCAAAGCTCTTTGGGGTTCTAAAAATTTTAAATTGTAAAGGGATTCTGAGACTAAAAAACTTTGAGAACTCTTCTGTATCAGCTACTATAATTAGCAGCCACTATTTCTAGTAGTTGTAATTGAAGGTGAAAGGAAGGAACATTTTTCTCTAGTCTGCTTACCCCATCTGTATGCTCCTTTCTTACAATGCCTGGCGGAGGGAGCTGTCTTCTACTGTCTCTTCTTTATATTTCAGACGGGAAACCACTTTCCTGCAGCTGAATTACAGTAGTGTCACTTTTAATTTAGATTAAAATTTGAAGACATCATGTTTAGTTCTGGAGTCAGCTGAATGCTTCAGTTGCCTGTCTTTGTGATTTTACACAGTTAAAAATGTTCAGGCTCTCTCAGAGCTTGCTTTGTAAAGTCTCTACACTGGTTGATATAATCTGACTTTAACCTTGGACCATAAGAACCCAGGACTGATACAGAATTTCAGCACAGAACAGATTATAAACATTGTTGGAGGGAGTATGTGGCATGACAATGCTGCTTTTTTTTTTTCTTGCTCTAGTAGCTATGTTGGGGGAGGTGGTTGCAAGAATGGGTGGTTTTCTTTTAGGCAGCCAGTGACTGTGTTCTGGCATCATTTGTGTCAAGTAGATGCAGATAAAATGAGGCTGAGATTCAAAATGGTTATTTTCCAGAAGAACATCTAAGTGCATTTATTAATTCTTTCAGGCCAGCAAGTCAGCTTTATGTTCTTTAAAAAAAAATTTTTTTCTAGCTTTATGCTCTGTGATACCAACTAGAGCAGCGGTTCTCAACCTGTGGGTCGCAACCCTTTTGGGGGTCGAA